TGTGTGTGTGTGTATGTGTGTGTGTGTGTGTATGTGTGAGAAAGAGAGGCAGAGAGAGGTGTGTGTATGAGTGTGTGTGTCACAGCATGCACATGGAGGTCAGAGGACAACTTTGAGGAGTAAGTTCTTTCCCACCTTCCATGTGGCTTCCAGGGATCAAACTCGGGCTGTCAGGCCTGGGCAGTAAGCACCTTTGGCCACTGAGGCATCTCACTGGCCCAGTGACTACTTGCTTGGACTATTTGGTACCCTGTCCAGCCATGGAGCCCCCAGTGCCAGCCGGCACCTTGAACCTGGCCCCTGAGTCTGTTTCTTCAGGTCTTGGTGGTCTCACTCCTTGGTAGGTAACAAAACTACAACAGAAACTCCCCTCATGTCCATCCAGAACCTCAGCATGGGGCCTTGGAAAGAGGGTCTTTGCAGATGTAATTAAGTTGATGAAGCCATCCATTTTAGGGAGGGGTCCAAACCTATCGACTGATTAGGAGAGGACACCACAGGTAGAGAAGGCCACACCAAGACAGGCAAACCTGAAGTGATGCTGCCATGAGCCAAGAGATGCTGGGAGCTGCTGTTGCCTAGAAGTAAGGACAGGCTCAGGGGGAGCAGTGCCCTGTAGAGACCAGGCTTTGGATTCAAGCCTCCTGACCCACAAAATAATATATTTCTGTATTTTTAAAAACATTTTTTAATTTATTATTTTTATTTTTTCTTACTTTCCCCCCCCCCCTTTGGTCTTTTTGAGACAGGGTCTCCCTGTAGCCCCAGCTGGCCTGGAACTCACTATGTAGATCAGGCTGGCCTTGAACTCACAGAGATCCGCCTGCCTCTACCTCCCAAGTGCTGGGACTACAGGCGTGGGCCACCACGCCTAGCTCTATTATTTTTATTTTATGTGTCTGAGTGTATTGCCTGCATGTATGTGAGTGCACCCGTGTTGTGCAATGCCTTGGAGGTCAGAAGAGGGCTTTGGATTCCCCTGGAACTGGAGTTAAGGACGGTTCATACCCATCATGTGGGTGCTGAGAATTGAACCTGGGTCCTCTGCAAGAACAGTCAGTGCTCTTAACTGCTGAGCCATCTCTCCAGCCCC